TTGAAGATTCCATGACAACCGCCGTATGAACACATCTGCAGGTGTTTCTTAATTCAAAGTTTCAACATTTTCATGTTTAAATGTTGAATTCTTCTTAAGCCAGTGCTAGGAGGCGTGGACGGTTACTTGCCGTTCCAGTACCGTCCATGAACAGGATTAAATAAAACCGAGCCTGCAACATTGCAACTCCGTCGTATTGGGCTTTGTTAATGGATTCTATTTTTCTTATTGTTTTTGGAAACGAATTCATATTATGAAAAACACTTAAATTTACACTAGACAAAAGAGCACTAGAAGTTATATATATTTCATTCATTAGACCTCTTATTGAATATGCAGTCTGGATAAACTGTACACAATATGAAAAACTTGAGCTTGATAAAATTCAACACGAAACCGCCCGTATAGTTTTCAACTAAACTTGTATATCTTCGAGAACTTCAAAGAAAAATACTTTAGGAATCCATCGAGAGCAAAAGTCAGAATAACAAACTTATTTTGTTTTACAAAATGAGAAATGGTCTCACACCAGATTATTTCAGTTGGAGAAACGTCCAGGTAGGACGAGAAGTTTGATATGTCATAAACATTTCAGCGGCAAATGTTATCGTAAAAACATGAGGACTGAATTGCTGAAAGGGAAACTGTGAGATGACCTGCTTCTGGTTATTTGCCAACACTTTTTCAGGTATGTATAATAAATCTATAATTTTCAAATGTACATATATCCAGAGAGAGGTTTTATTATTCTTTTCATTGAATTTCTAACAGTTACAATTTATTTATCATTTAATGATTAACCTGGCCGTGCTCTGTCTTTGCCCTGCCCTGATTTTGTTAGGGGTCCGCCTGGGCTCCTTGCCACTGGTTCTTGTTGCTGGATCATATGGGGGTTGCGTTCATTGAACGCCGCCTTTCCTTGTTGATCTTGTTTATCATATATTATTTGAGAGACATAGTGCTTTTTGTTTATCCACATGACTAAACTTCGCATTATTGTATCTGTTCTTTTAATAGACGGTGAATTGTATAACTTATTTGCCAATCAAACATTCAATGATCATCTACTGAGGCATTGTTAAATTTTTTCTTGGTTGGTATGAATTGAAATAATAATTCGTGTTTGGGAAAATGCCCAGGCTACCCAGTGTTACTTTGAGTGAATTTTACAATTGCCCTTATCAATATTTAAAAGGGCCTGAGTTCCTAATGAGTCTTCTCTAAATGCTGCTATTTTTAAAGAACATGTGATTGGTAATAATCTGGTAATAATCTTATAAGTTGTAGGTGTTGAAGCTGACATGCATTAATTGCTGCTATCCATGAACATGTCTATGTCAAAAGATGGGTAAGCTGTTTAAAAAATTTTTAACATTCTTTTCTCGTTAGTCGGAATACAATAATTATATAAATGTCGTCTTGAACATTATTTCAGTTGATCATCATAAAATTAGATTCAAGCAGGCAATAAAACTACATTGTAATTAATGCATTGACATTTAATGATTTATAACATGAAATATTTTTTTCTTGAATAAATATGTAATTTTTTTTTTTATTTTAATTTATGGTACTTAATCTCCCTACAAAGAAACTAAACGAATTGTCCAGTATTTTTGCTTGGATCAAACTTTACCTGCAAGTTGGCAATTGAAATGAAAGGGAAAGTAACACGTTTTTATGAGTCAGGTATGCACATAAAAGTTGTATTGTCAAGAGATATATGCACGTATTATTGACAAAATAATTTCCCTATTGCCGACTTTATAAGAAATGCTGAAAGTAGAAAATAGGAAAGCTGCTTTGTACATGTAAATTGTTTGATATTTATATTTTATGGTTTCAAATGTACAATATTATTGCTCTGCGCCCACAGGCGCGCAGCTATTTGTGTTTACTTTTTTTGTCCATGGACCCGATTTTTATCAATTAATCCCTTCGATTTACAGTTAAAAAATAAATTCGGAAGCACTTTTTCCTTTCGATTTCTATTATGTAAAGTCATATATTGATCTCGCCTTCGCATGATTTGCAGCATGTCATATTAATGAATGAGAACGGGAACAATGCTATAAATAGATATGACCTTAACATTGAGAAAGTCCGAAAATCTATTTATAGAAGTAGTTCAATTAACCGCTATGGTAATTGTACGAACTGGAGAGTTTTGCAGGATGAAATGCAAACATATTCAACCATAAATTGCGCCCTTTATAACTTATCGAAAAAAAATAAAGTAAATTAAGAGCTCCCCTGATTATTTAAATCGGCCCTGGTGTCCCGAATATTTGCTATTAGAAGTTGATTCCTTTTTGTTTGAAGGCAATCGGTTTTATGGTGGTTTGAGTGGAATGTTGATTTGCCGAATACTGCGACATGTATTTTAACAACAGAAACTTTCGTTGAGGTGTTATGGGTTTATTGATAGGAATTTAAACACACTGGCGGGTCAGACGAGGATTTGTAAGCAATTCAACAAAATAGTAGATTCATCTCCCACTAAATCAATTAACAATAGCTTTTTTATTTATAATCTATGTCAAGTAGCTTTTATATCTTTAATTGACTCGCATAAACATCATGGCATACTTAAAATACAGGTAACAGTCTTCCATTGATAAATAATGTTTCAATATATCAACATGCCATGCAAATTTATGCATGATTTTAAATGTACCATTATTTTTGTTAACGCGTGTAACACAAAAAATCCTGAATGTCGTCTTTTAGTAATTCATCCCAAATTTTTCATTCCAGTGTGTGTTTTTCTTTCAGTATTTATCTGAAACTTAAAATATTGCTACAGTAACTGTATCTTAAGTCCAAGACATCAAAAGAAACCATTTTTCTTAATTTGATAGAAAAATGCCTATTATATTACAATATTAGCCTCTTTTGTTACTGTTTTTATATGCTGTTTGTATATTTGTTACAATTATAATAAAAAAACAGACTTTATTCAATTTGACTAGTGTTTTGTATGTTACAAAGTAAATACATTTAATATTTTTATTTTTAGCAAGCCGACCAAACATCATGATGAACAATGTCTTTCCTCCGCCCATTCATCTATGATATACACGTACAGTTCTTGTAAAATCCAATTAACCATTGAAAAGTTTAAAATAATATCATCAGATGTCTACTAGTTCATCTTCACTTGCTCCATTCCTTGCTTGGACGCCATTTGATGCTTTGTATCAATGCCTTTCTTTTTCAACATGATATACCATTTGGTGCGAAACATGTAACGGACATTTTGTAAAATAAAGTCGATTAGGCTTATTAACATGTGGATATTTCCTACAATGATTAGTTCTTGATATTTGTAGAGAGTGAGTAGCATTATGGGTGAAAAAGAAAATGTACATGCTTTGATATTTTTTATCATCTATTATTACTGACTACAGTAGTGACACAACAGAACAATGTTGCACTACTGTCATGTCACGTTACATTTACAAGTCTTGTAAGTCTTGTTTGTATTGGCATTACTTTCCTTACCAGGTAGGCATCAGTGAAAGCATTGTTTAAATTTAATATCTGGCCCCTCTGTCATGGATAGTGCATACGATAAGTATAATTATGCAAATTTAAATAATTTACAAAACATCCGGAATAGTGTACACTAGTCCTTAATTTAAAAAGAAAATGACATGTGCGCAGAAAAGATTTGGTAAGGTATCTGTAATGAGCGCATTTCTTTTGCGGGGAGCTTCTTACTTGCTGCATTGCTGCAACATTTGTACTTGTATGAATGGTTGTTAGTGGTTACCATGAACTTAGCTATAACAGTATTACAGATATTAATAGCATAATTGAAAGTAAAATGATAGAAACTATATTTTGCTGTTAGTATATTGTGAAAAAAACAGTGTTGTGCAAATTTGGACAATTGTCTAAGACAGGTACTTATATGTCTACTTATTATTTTTTAAAGATTTAACAACAATGTTCAGTTAGTAAACAATTGGGCATCAATGCTCTTTAGGGTTTAATTATTTCATGTTTTTTTATCACATGACCATTTAAGGAAGATATAGAGGTAATAACCATGTTAATAACCTCATATATTTCCCAGATATTGACGACCTGCATACCATAAAACACTGCCACAGTAAGTCATGCATACTAAACAGTGGCTATCAAACCCATACAGAATCAATTTTGTTAGGGTTATAGACTTGTGTTTATTTACCAATATTGAATTTACAAATTTGAAGATATTGATATGCTTCATTAATGACACTTCAGTGTACATCAGCTTAAAAGTATTTATAATACAAAGAATAAAATACAAACATGTACATTATATAGAATTTATTTCACCAGCAAAATATCAGTTTCAATTACATACATAAAATATCATAACATTTTGTCAGTTATTTTGGAAGTTAAGTCAGTTGTTTTTGATGTATTTCAGACGCAGAAACAGGTGTTTCTTGAATGATGTTAACGTATATCTAGGGAATATATACATGTATTGTAAAGTTTAAATTTCAATATTGTTTTATATTATCGTAAAACACTTCATCACACCATATTAAGTATTCTGATGTGTTTATTTGCAGGCATTTTAGCAAATGGTATGGAAGACGAACATATTTTTGTTGTCACGAGCAGGTATACAAGGGGAACCCACCCCATACATGCTGTGGAACATTGTTCCTTAGTTTTGTCAAATTGCAATGACATGAGTTTGTAAACTACTTATCATAATTATATGAAGTACATAGCTGTCTTATAATTCTACATACGGCTTGTGTGGCAAAGATGGAAAAAATACTAAGAAAACGTAAAAAGATAACCCTTGAGCAATATATTGCCCTTTTAATTGCAGCGGCATACAATGTACTTGTACCATTTGTGTTGAGAAATGAGTGCATTACATATGTTCCTAAAAGGGTACAATTGAAGTACAAAATTTCCAAAAGTAAAGAATACATGATTTGATATTATTTGACAGGAAAACTATTTTCAAATTACAATAGTTAAGTAACTCAGAAAGGATACGTTAACTTTTCGATTGTATCTTGGTTGAATGCTGTCATCATATTGTAAACAAGCGTACTGCTTATTAATGTAGATATGATGACGATCTTGTTATCATGATCTTGACTGCCCTTCAATAGAAAGTGGTCATGCATATCAAAATTAAGTGGGATATGTAATCAATGTTACTACAAAAAGTATCGAATTAACGAGATTATTTTAATTTTGAAGATACAAAGGTTATAACATGTCGTTTGATAAATACCTAGTGCAGGATATTGTTTGTTTCTACATGCTAACGTGGATAATTGTGCTTGTATTTTATCATGAAACATAGATGATGTTCTCTAGATATGGTCGATTTAGCAGAATATACCGGGATCATTGTCCAAATATTATACAAAGAAAAAATAACAACAAAAGGCAAATAATGCTTTCATAAAACGTCATTTTGACTCTGTGCTTTGCTTTTTTTTTATTCTTAGCAAAACTTTTAAAGTGTGGAAGAGTACATGGTTGACATTTTAAGCAATTTAGTTTAATTTTACTTTGTTATTATCATCATATTCTAATTGAATAAAAATAACGTTATCCAAACTATCTAAACACTTGTTTAATATAACAATGTCATCATACGATGTTACACGAATTTAATTTTAAATCTAATTGACAACTAGTGAAACATAATTGAAACCATTATTGCTACATAGTTATGAAAGCAAGGAGAAATTATCGGCACAAATTCTTAAAAACTTCATATGTTTTTACCTTTTCAGCATCCCCTAATCCCTCAGTATCTAAAAGAAGCAACACTTGGGCCTTCTGTGTTGGATGTTCTCTACACCATGCCCATATTCCTTTTGTTTTCGATTGGACTGCTTTTCCAAGTGCAAAACCTGAATTTTAAATGAATAGTTTCCGTTAAAATGTATTTATATTTCATAGTGATTGTTAATAAAACTCAATAAAATCATAAAATGTGTCAATACAAATACGCCCGTTAAACTACAAATTCACACATACAAAATCGTCACACTTGTAAAAATAATACGAACATGTCCGACATCAGGCATGAATATGCCACAAATGTTTTTCTTTTAATTTACATATCCCACTTTGAAACGACTGTAGTCCAAAGACAGTTTTTGCAGTCAGCTTATTGTTTGCTCAAATTTATTCTCATGTTTGTACTTCAAAGTATCTTTGTCCGAAGAAAGCTACAATGATGTTGTAACATTTATGCCAATAAATTAGTAAATTGTTTTGTTTCAAATAAGTTAGGACTTTTTATACAGACTTTTGAAGGTTCCATAACTGTCGTGTGTACACATCTGCAGATATCTCTGTATTTTCAGAGTTATTTTCCGGACAATGATCAAAGTGTAAAAATGAACAAAGAGCAATAACTCCAAAATCAATCAAAGACAAGTAACTATTATTTTTACTACACTTCTACTTAATGAGATCTATCTACCTACAAAGTTTCCTATTAATACACTTTGTGATTTTAGAGTTATGTCCCGGACAAAGTTCAAAGTGTAAAAAAACAAAGGTCAAAGTGTAAAAAAACAAAGGTCAATAACTAAAAAAATAGGTAAGGCAGAGTTTCTGTTCTTTTGAACTGAACATTTACTCAGTGAGATCTATATGCTTACAAAGTTTTAAGTTGATGCCTTTTAAAATTCTCAAGTTAAGTCCAAAGGACAAAGTTAAAAGTGTAAAACTGAAAAAAAAGCAATTTCTCCAAATTAAGGGAATGCAGAGTTATGTTTCTTTTGCACTGCACTTTTACCCAAGAAGATCTATCTACCTACAAAGTTTTCTGTTGATATCTCTTGTAGTTTCAGAGTTGTGTCCCAGACAAAGTTCAAAGTGTAAAAATAAACATAAGGCAAGGCAGAGTCACGGTTGTTTTGAACTGCGTTTTTACTGAATGATATATATCTACCTTCACAGATTCTTAATGCCCTTATGTTTTAGAGTTATGTCCCGGACAAAGTACAAAGTGTAAAAATAAATAAAGGACAAAATAAGGCAAGGCATAGTTACGGTGTTGTTGTCTTTTTGCATTGCACTTCTACTCAGTGAGATATATCTACCTACAAAGTATTTTTTTTGTTAATACACCTTGTCGTGTTAGAGTTATGTCCCGTCATAGTTCAAAGTGTACAAATAAACAAAGGGCAATATCTCCAAAATAAGGCAAGGCAGAGTTACGGTTCTTTTGCACTGCACTTCAACTCAATGAGATATATTTTTCTACCTACAAAGTTTCTTGTTAAAACCCTTTGTCGTTTTAGAGTTATGTCCCGGACAAAGTTCAAAGTGTAAAATTGATCAATGGGAAACAACGCCAAAATAAGGCCACTCCGTTCTTATTTCGATTTTTCACTACAATATGATTCACAATTTTGTTCCTCCTTCAAGATTTCAGTTTAATAGTTATTAGAATGAGTCTCTTGTAAAATGTATAAAGAACAAGAGTAAGAGTCTAACCATTCAAGGGCTGTTTTTTTCCCGTTTATTTCAAAATCTTAAATCTAACATTAAAAAAGGAAAGCATAGGCTCCATTGACTTTGTAAAAGAATATACCTCACAATGTGCGTTAAATTCATACTTAAATGAATTAATGTTAATTTTTACACCTGCTTAATAGGCATGAAAATATAACGCCAAATTTGAAAAAAAATAGTTTTGATAAAAGAAAGGCATCAACACGATTTGTGAGAGTTGACAGCTTATAATCTTTTTATTATCATTCAAACTACTCAAGTTCATAATTATGGCAAATACATAGAGTCTTACCCAAACACTATAACATAAGAAACAAGGCCATGATGGCTCTTAGTCGCTCACCAGAAACAACAGTTTTTCAGTGTTAGAAATTATTTTTAAAATAAACTTGCCCAAAGGCAAGTCAAGCTGAACTTTAACTTGCCCATCTACCTATATACTTTCACAACACTGATTTGTTTCTTTATAATAAGCCAGGATGGCACTTTATCACTCATCTGACTCACCACTCATTGTTCACTTTAAAAACTGAAATATTTTGTCCTAATATTTAAGAAAGGCTTTGTTAAAAAATATATATGTTGCAAGTGTGTTCCTATGAGACAATATAGAACAAATTCAGGAAAAATGACCAACAGAGCAGGGTTAATTTTGATAGGACATTTTTTCATAACTTTTGTGAATAAATATACAAAATGTCACTTTCAAAATAGATGTTTAAAGTTATTTCTATTTTTAGCTCTTGAGACCCCTGAAAGGGGACAATCAAAATAAAATGAGCAAATTTGATAAAAGACTCCCTAAAAATGCTAGAGACAATTTTTGGTGATCATCTATCATTTAATTTAGTAATAAAAGATGTTTAAAAATTTGTTCTATTTTTAGATCTGTTGACCCCTTAAAAGGGCCAACAGAAATGACATGAGCTAATTTAAATGTGACTGTCAAAAGGGTGCATCAGATCAAATTTGAAGTAAATCTGTCCATCTGTTTCAGAGAAGAAGACGATTGTTGACGCATGACGACGGACGCCCGAGCATCGCCGGTTGATACTAATAGCTCACCCTGAACCTTCGGTTCTGGTAAGCTAATAAAAGTGATAAAAAAGAACAAAAAAAAACCCCACTTACTTCATTTAGTATTATTGATTTTCGGCATGGTGAATTAAATTTGAAAAATATTTTCCGGTGGCATACAAACTGCACTTTACATATAATCAAGTTATAATTCGGTTTGGTTTGAAAATGCTACCAATGCGAAAAGTTTGTTGTGATTATATATGTCCTTTAGTTGAAGTTATCAATATTAAACTTTGAAACCGACGGGTCATGAAATGTGTGACGTTTTCTTATGAATATATTTTACGCTTAATTTATTCTTCTTTTGTGACACGTTACAATTTGGTTTTTGGTTTAATGATATAAAGGTTTACAACGATAGATTTAAATGTATCATAAATTCGTACAACTTTGCCACATCTGTTTGAGGAATTTATTCGTATTTTTGTACACGTGTTATAAGTGCGTAAATATCAAATTTGAGGTTCAGCAGACGCAAAAAATATGATAAACAAGATCAACAAGGAAAGCGGCGTTCAATGAACGCAACCCCCATATGACCCAGCAACAAGAACCAATGGCAAGGAGCCCAGGCGGACCCCAAACAAAAACAGGACAGGGCAAAGACAGGTTAATCATTAAATAATAAATAATTTGTAACTGTAACTGATTGTAACTGATTTGAACCCTATAAGCTATGGGTAAACAATGATATGCCTATACATTTCTGGAATTTCTATACACTTTTAAACAAAGATTTTCTCTTTTTTAATTACAAAAACCATTACAATTTCTGTTGCAATCATACCTTGTCACTTTTGTCCTGAGAGTAAAGACCAACAAGGCTTCCGATAGTATCATTTTCTATCTATGTAATTTTCCCCCTTTTTTAAAAAAAAAATATTTACCCATCTATCGCAGTTGGTCTTTGATATTCTGTTGTCTCTTATAAAACTTTTCTACACTGGATCTCAATTTCTTGATTTTAGCATTAATTGCAGTACACTGCGTATACTGTTTATGCATAATAATTGTAGTCTACACTAATTTCTAACTCCTGAAAATATACAGTCTGCAATATTATATATATTCTATATAATCCATCATTTGCTTAACCTCATGTTTTATCAATTAAAAGGAAATAAACGTATAAAACTACCTTCTGTTTCGCCTGCTAAACGGTTCATAAGGTACGACTTTCCAGTTCTGTATAGTCCCGCTATAGCAACCACATTCACCGCAGACGTAATTTGTTTTATCTGATTTGCAGTTTCCAGTACAATTGTTAAAAACCCATCTTTGTCAGTCTCTATAAGACACTGTGGCCTTTGAAATATATCTAATCCCTTGTATCTGAATACAAAAATTACAAAATATTTTGCCTTAAGTATTTCATTCTTACATACTTGTTCTTTTTTGTAAATCAATTTGTTTGATCTTTTAAGAATGCCAATTTTTATTGAGGAATAAGATCAACATAAAAAACTAATGTCCAAGATCAACATCCAAAAACTAATGTCATTACCGTAGAATGAACCTGAATAGAATAAGTTTTAACTAACCCAAACTGTAGTGTATTTATATTTTTTTTAAAATGTCTGATATCTAACTTGTATCTATTAAAAATAAAAGATCTCACATTTCGGAAACGTCTGACATCGTTTTATTCGCTAGCACTTGCAAAGTCTGGAACGCAATAAAAAAGAATTTATCACCGAAAAACAAAATATATTTTGATATTGCGATGATTGTACTAGTACACATTAATTCATTATGGAATTATATTACCATTAACAACAGAAGTAAACATATGAATTCGTCACTATAATGTATGGTGTTCCGTTTGGACAATCGTGATTTTTATTTCGTCCTTACCCGCGATGCATGATAGGACGATGTTAAAAACGCGATGGTAAGATGACACGATGATAAAAACACGATGGTGTGATGGTGAAAACACGATGGTACGGTAATGAAATCGCGGTGTCGCATCGCGTTTTCACCATCATACCATCGCGTCATCGTGTTTACACCATCGTACCATCACGTTTCCACCATCGTGCCATCGCGTTTTCCACATCGTTCCATCGCACAATGTAAAAAAGAAATAATAATAGACAAGATTCCGTTAGTAAAAAGCCCGAAAAAAAACATTTTTAAGAGAACCTCAAAGCATTGATATTTAAGATAGAGCTGGCATACTTTCAAAATACGCAAACAATAGATAAAAGCGGAATTCCTAAAGAACACAAAAACTGCAAAATCAAAAATATTTTATTCACGATTCGTTAGATCATGGATCGTTGTGGTGTAGGGAAGCTACTGCTTACGCCCCCTAGCAGCGGATTAACCAGAACTTAACATTTAATATATATATATTATATTTTATTTCATAAGACTCTCTGAAACCAAACATCTCTCTAGCGACCTTTAGACAAACTCACAGCTATTGAAGGTTTTTTTTTTTTTTAAAAATACATAGCTTGTACACAGGTACAAGAGGGACATGATGACCCTTATATCGCTAAAACTGAAAATATATGTACTTGATGAAAAGGGGACAAATAATATTGTAAAATATAACAAAAGCCGATATAAAATCTAAATCTTTAACTGATAACACAAAGTTCATATTTTTGTCTTAAATAGTGCATTTGTAAAACGTAACTGGTTGCTATCGCTACGGGAAAACAATACTTACTAAATAGACTATTTTTGGTCGAATTCAAAGAAAACGCAGAAGGAAACTGATGAGGATTCAGCTTCCAGTCCTAAACCACCGAAACAACTGAAAGGGTAAAAAGTGATCAACAAGTTTGGCAACAGACACTTGAGAAGTCATCTTAAAATAACAGACAATACTGAGCTAAACCGCAGAAAGTCTGAAGGTGATAAATGAAATCCCAGCAAGGATCTAACTTTTAATATCGATGAACAACTATTTTTTTGAAAATTTACCCTTGAATATAAGAGGAATTACAATATTTCATTCATCCTATATGAAAAAACAAGACATAGGTAGAGGAATTTTAAGTGAAATAGAAAAAATAAAATAAGAGCAAAATATAATAATGAAATATTGCAAAACAAATATAATGGAACTTTTAAATAGTGGATGAAGTACTTATACGATTGCAAGCTAAGTGAATTAATAAAGGTGAAAACCCAACTAGTTATAATCTGGAAAATAGAAACTTTGTCTCCAAAGTTATGAATTCGCTTAAAATGTCAAAGGGGGAATTCTAAATACACAAGAGAGAATTTTTAAAAAAACAAAGAATCTTTATGAAAGGTTAGATAGGTTTAGAAGCTGGATCAAGTTATTTTATACTAATACATAGAGGATATTGAATGAGTGTAGTTTAATACTAAATTTATTGAACGAGTTGAATAAATTACATTTATTACACTCCTCCGCCGCGGTTTATGTGATAAAGAATCATTTGTCATTACAAATTGTCACATGTCAGACTGGTTCAAACTTCAAAGAAGTTGACGTCAAGGTAATGCCCTATCGCCGTACCTGTTCATCATTTGTAGTGAGGTACTGTCAATATTGTTAAGAAAAATACCAAGATAACAAAGGTGTTATAATGAACAAGAAAGAGTATCACGATTTCAAGATTTCACAGTATGCTGACGCTACTAGTATATTTTATATGGCTAAAACATTAATGAATACCATGGAAGTTTAGAAATTCTATGTAGATGTATAAGGCATTAATTAATATGGAAAAATACACAAAGCAGTCTTGTTTGGTACCTACAGAAAAAGCCAGGTAGTTTTTTGTCCTGATTACACTCTAGATTGGAACACTGAAAATTTTAAAGTATTTGGTATTTAATTTTCAACAAAATTTAAACTCATTGTAGATTTAAACTTTGATATAAAAATTGAGGAATTATACATATTATTTGCTTCATGGTCTAAAAGACTGATCTTTATTATATACTTATAAATGAAATATTGAGAAATATTGATGAAATAAAATGCGTATTTTCATTTTCCGATTTTTCACTGAAAAAAATTTATTTTTCACTGCAGTGAAACATATTTTCCGTATTTTCACTGGTGTATTGCCGGACTTCTTTCTTTTAAATTTTGCCAGTGCACAAAATTTAAGGGAAAGTCTTTCAAAATGTATTGTCAAAGAAGAGAAAATGTATATAATAAACAGAAAATTCAAGTTTTTTCTATAAATACATGATTTATTTTCATCTTGTGGCATGAAAATTACCATATTTCACTTGTGGCTACCGCCACTCATGAACTATTTATTTTCATACCACTCGATAAAAATAAATCATGTATTTATAGAAAAAACTTGAATATCCTCTATATCTATTAGGAAAATAAGTTCTTATAAAGTCTTTGGCCTTGGCAAAACTAAACCATCTTTTTTAAGCATTCCTAACCCACCTACTGAAAACAATTAATAAAATACAAAGTTTATATTATAATTTTTTATGGAATGATGGCATAGATAAAGTTAAAAGAAATGTTATTACATAAATTTATAAGTTCGGTTGTCTTAAAATGGTAGACTTGAATTGTTTTTATGAATAGTTTAAAATTGGCCTGGAAAAGACGTATTGTTTATATTGACAATAAATATAGCCAGCTAGTAGAAGGTACTTTGCCTTGTATACATAATATTTTTAAGAATGGGACAGATCTTATTAAAAACAAAACTCAGTTGTAATAACAATTCTTTTTGGAAAGATGTAAGTTATATGTGTCTTTGTATGAAATCTTAGCCAACAATAAATATCTTTATTCCATTAATTAATGGTACAACCCTGACATAAAAGTTGGAAATTCTAGTGTTAATCGAACAAGATGGATTAATGGGCAAGTAAGACATCTAGACCCCTTGACTTCTCGACCCCTTACGATATTAAGATGACTTCTAGACCCCTTGACACTTAGACCCCTTTTAACATGACTTTTCGACCCCTAGTGTGTAAGACATTTCGACCCCTATCTCAATTTTTGTACTTTAAATCACAGATACTTCGAGAAATAATTTAAAGTTAACAGCAAATATTTAAAAAAAAAAATAAAAAAATTCATAAATAGTATCCGATTAAATATTGAAAACCTAAGGTAAAACAATAATCTTATATTGTTTTTTTATTCATTTATGTTATAATGTTACATAGAATTGTAGGATGGCTACATACCAGCTATTATATATAATTTATGTTAATATAAAATGATTGGGCGTGATATATCAGATTAGACCACTGACTAAAAGTGAAGGAATTATGATAATGATTATAATGAAAATGCGCGATTTTGTGCATTGCGTATTTATTCATATCTACAAGTTTGTAAAGATTTAGTTTATTTTTATATGACAAACACTTACATGTTATATTGGGGATGAATTATTTTACATGAAGAAGAAGAACGTTTATTTCACTTAAACTACAAATTTCTCGTGATTAACATATATACAAGCATACATATATAATGACATGAAAAATACAATGACATGAAAGTAAACATAATAATTATATTGGATGGACGAAACAAAAATGAGATGACACAAATATTTACATGTGTATATATTCAATTGACTTGTCAAAGTAGCAATGATCTCATTTTATGGTATTTACATTATGAATTAATTAAAAAACAACATACCAGTCAATCAATAAATGGTTGTTATTTTAAAGCGATCTTCATGTTTTCGATTAATTTTAATTTAAAAAACGTATTTCGAAAATTACATGTACTATATTTTACAACTTTAATGTAAATTATAATATTTAGAAATTGCAGTTATATTGACAAAAATGATATAGTCTCATCTAGTTCTTATATAATTTGTAACATTAAAAAATAAGTTAATCTCCAAAATGTTTTATAACATCTCAAATTTCATATACGCATTTTTTCTCATAAATTGAGTGAAATATTGCCATAATAAGCTTCCAAAGCAATATTTTCGACAACAACAAGTTAAGAAATTATTTGATATCTTTAAGTCGATACATGTTCCTCTTAATCATATTATCTAAATGGTGTGAAAACGCGTGCCCAATAAACATCAGCCACGTGTCACTGGTAATTTAATTATCAGTACTTAACACCCTGCCAATCACCAAATTGTTGTTGTTGTGCCAAAGAAACAGTAGTTGCATGCATTCGATTTTAACGGGGTTTTCTGATTGGGAAAGGAATTGTTATACGTTACATTCAATTTAATTATTTTATTAAGATATATAAACATATTACATATTTTATAGGCATACATTCAAAGGCGACGGACAGACACGATAAGAGTATGACCATTGATACATCGATTTCATGTATGCAATACCATAAAATTAAAATGTATCAAACACAAATGTCATATGAAAAATTAATGAAGACGGAAAAATATAGTCTAGCAAAAACACAACATTTGTTGATTCGATACACCCGTGAAAAATAAAGATGATCCCGTTTATTGTTGGTACATTAATACTGTACTGATATTAGTGATATTCTGATTTGCTTGTGACTTCAGTGCCAGATAAAGATTTGTTTTAAATTTTAACATTACTTATTGTTTGGCAATATTGACCTGCGTCTGTATTAGTTTCCGGAAATTTTTTTGTTACTTTTCGTAATTCGATACGATTTACTGTTTGATTTGTAACGATAGAAAAGTTCTCGATATAAAAAAAATATA